GCCAGAAAATATCCGGTCGCCCACACAGGCGGTTAAAATAACTATAGCATAAGTATTTAAAATTGAAATGAAATAAAATGATGTTTTATTTATTTCTCAATCACAAAACAGGCTTTAGAGTAGGGAACTTAAGGTTAATACAAGACTAAACATAAGAATTCCCATAAGAATCAATAATTTCGCACTTAGATGGTAAGTACGGGTCGAATTGGGAACCTTCTATTTGGAAATCGGTTGAAAGGTTTTTTATTACAATCATAAACATCACAATACTTTTACACTACGAATAAAATTCTCAATATTACTATAGAAATAAATGTGTGGCAAAATTATAATAAAATGTATTACTTAACTATGTGTACTCTAGGTAACTTATGTTTATACATATTTTATCGTTCTTGAACCTTATTTTTTTTTTACTGTTTTTTTGCTGAAGCTGGTTACTTAATCTCGAAACACTGCTGCATATATTCCCTTTACCGATTACCAATCCATTATCTATATAGAGATTGTTTACAATTCTACAAAAAAAATTGTACTTACAAATTATGTACTAATCTTCCGAAAAAATACGAACTTACCGAAAAAAACATTCTTCAATAAAAACATTTTTTTTGATAAATGAAATTATTAAAATCATAATATTGACTTCATCTCTATCACATATTATATAGGCTGTGCATTTGCTGGTAGAGATCCTTCATTTAAATAATCATTTATTTTTCTTGATACCCTAGGGTAAAATAAATATAAGGAACTTTGTCATCATTTTTCTCATAAATAACATGCAATTTAAAAAAATCTGATTTAAAAAGTTATAAGATGTACATAATTATTACTTAATTATTGAATTTAAAACTTAAATTTCGAAATATTGATTCTTCTTTATTTTAAACGTTTGGCCTGTATAGAATAAGTGCACCCATTTGAACATAATCTAAAATTCACTGAAATACTTGTTAAATTTGATGCATACCAGTAAAAATAATTACATCTTATATCATAGATGAATATCTACTCGTACACTTTAAAATAAATTAAAAAGTGTGACGTAAAAGTCCGCACCACATCACTCTCGAGCAGCCTTGGCGGGCAACTTTTCGAAATAAATCGACTGACCATGCGCCTGGGCAGATTTTATAGCGCACGTCACAATTATGCAAACGTACGTGACTGGGGTTCCAATGGCTTGTATTGTATATGGAACAATGTTTATGGAGAATGAAGAATTATTAATGTTTGCCACCACACGTGATTTCAACTTATTAGCCGCAAAAACGATTCTTGACGGAGTCAGATTGATGATGACCTCATAAAGTTTAAATCTCTACACCACATTGAATAGAGTTAAACCTTTAAACGTAAATATACTAATTTAATAGTAAATTAAATTATTATATTTATTAACATTTATTATGTGACCACACACACATTATTGTTTTTATCATGTACCAATATTTGTATGTATCAATATTTTTATTTTTAGAATACATGTTGAGACACATTACATTTTTGTCTTATTTTTCTTTTTAAGTTTTCAAAGGTACGCTATTTGCAAAGGTCTGTGTAAAACGCAGCGCTAAAGCAATAACTTGTTCTTTTATATAATAAAACGTGGTTTTAAAAAATCTTTCATAATCTCTGTTATAAACCGCAGGTAGAGACCACGTGCTCTATCTGTTTTCTTTATCTTTTTTTTTTGTTCCAGGTACCAAGGAGTGGATGTAAGGGATGATTTTTATAGATAATGCTTTTTGTGCCATCGTCATTAATTGTTTGAGTGAGATACTAAAACTTTTTGTTGATTCGTGGGATTTTCGATAAATGATTCCTTGTGCGGCCACAGAAAAAGTAATAATAGATAGTTCGAAGGAAACATTACATAATCTTTTAAACCTATAAATTTTTTACTATGATAAAAAGTTGTAAAAAATAAGAACATAGATAGTGTCATTAAATTTTCTTTGGTAGGAATTTCTTCTTTAGGTTTCGTCACAACTTTTATAAATAAAAAGTACCTTTGTTTAGATTCTGTGCTATTGAAGCACGATTACATCTCTCATGGCGGCCATGGGTCTTCTCTGGGAGTGGCAATGAATTTCTAAGTTCATATACAGTAACGCCACAAGACCGCCTGTTGTACACTCGCTTATTCTTATATAGATACTTATAATGCTTTCAGGGTTGTCATTGTTTTATTCATTAGTCATCGCTCTATGTGCAATAACGAACATTTTATTCATCACTCGGTCATTAATCATAATATACTAAAAAAGTCGTTGTCTTTTTTTCAAAAGCACTTACGTCCAATATCACTTAAAAGTACTCGTAAATAGCTATTACTAAACAATATCTGTTTTAATTTAATAAATGGTTATCCATTGATAGTTTATGTCAGATCCTGAATTTGAGGGCAATGTGTTTCGATATTACAACGACGAGCAATTTTTTATACACGAACATTACTGTATCGACACCATACATGAGTAAACCACTTAAAAACCACTATGAAAACATATAACAAACAACTTACAGATACGAATGACAACGCAGCAGAGTATAGAGAAAACATTTTTCTGTATAAGAAATAGGCTATATGTTCAATTTTCGTTCTCCATACAATGTTAGTAACCATGTGTGATAATTTCAGTTCACGTTGTATTAAACTTTTATATTCAAATTAAAAATGTCATTTGAATTCTCTTTTATCCGATTTCATAATTGGAGGAGAATTCGATTGTTTTTTTATGTATGTTACGAATTATTTTTATTAATTACGATTACTCCGGCTGAACTGATGATTCTTTTTTGTTGAAAAGAGGGTTACCTCAATATTGGTTCAGTTTAAATTTGAAGAAAATAGGTTGGCAAATTAGGGGATGAATCTGGTTTCGAGCACTTTCCGGTAACCGATTTCAATAACACTTGGCAAATAGATGTAATTCCATGAAGTTTTGAGGTCGTTTTTTTAAATAAAGTGTTATAATTCTTTCTGTAAATTTAAAAATTGATTCACAAATTTAATTGTGTTTGTCGGTATAATAATGTGTATACATAGAAAATAAGACGGGAGACCTACTCCTCTCTAAATCAGCATATAATATTGTAACTTATTCAACTCATACACGTACTTACATTCACGTTAAGAGCAATCATGGCACGTATGGCTGGATATCATCTATTGTACAACGGAACAAGATGCGTCACGAAAAGCTTAACGTGTACTGTACGGTCTACCATGAGTAGTCGTAAAATAAAAAATCTTACGTAGACAATTGTGTCAATATTATTATTAATTGTATATTAGTTAAGTTACTAATTACTACCAATTAAGTATGTCAAATGTTTAATAAATGATAATTACCTATGTAATTGTATACAACTCAGCTCACCTATCATAGTGGTAATAATTACACAATATGCATCAAATACATTTAGATATGGGTTTAATGAGCAAGTTTAATGAGCAAATTGTGCTAATTTCGAACATATGTCTTTGTATATTTTTGTTCAAAGTCGTCTCACATTTTTTTTCCTTATTGCAAAGTAATCGTCGTACGTTCATGACAGTCCAGCGCGAAAGGGTCGCGGGAGATGACTATATTTTATAATCTTGTTAGCTTCACTGGAGACGACGGTACGAGAGCTGTTCCCACGCCGCGAACCAGGCCCGCTTTCTCTATGCGGTCTAATAAGCGTACGAACTGGGATGGTACTGTATCGATATTATGTGTCGTGACACTGTTGGTCATATCATATCAAACACTTGACCATTTACGACTATCAGAAAATTGGCCATAGTTTAGGGCAGTAAACCTTCATCGAGTTCCCTAAATGGTGACTTGGTGGATAAGTAACAATTTTGTAAGCAAAACAATACTCAAGCACTTATCACAATCTGCAACGGAATAACAGAACTATACATCCGCTTATACTTATAAAATAGCACGTCAAAATATCAGAAAAGTAACAGATGTTATTTTATTTATATAGATATGTTGAGACATTAAATAGAAGAAATTGTGAATGACATGTGGTATTTTTCGTTTAACAAGATTTTATTATAATTAGCATACAAAATAATGTAATCTACCGTTTATTTGTCATCATGGTATTTTTTCATTATATTTTCATGAACCGATCCTACACGCGTCTTTTTAAACAAGGCAAACATACATTTGAAAAAACTTTCTTGTTTTTGTCTTTGGAGTTGTATTAACAATGCGTAATTGACAATATATGAACTAACGACTAAACGGTAACAATTTCTTCAAAAAAGCGACTGGTGATTCGTACCTACGTGATAATGAAGAACATAATATTGATATATTAAAACAAAAGACGATACTGACTATTTAAGGACTTAAATGTTTGTTCCGGATATGGCTCCTCCAAAGTGTAAAAAAAATTAAGCACCGAGAATGACCGTGGTAAACTTTAGGTTGGACACGGTGAATACTACATTGTTCCACGTTCGATGAGGAGAAAAACATGGTAACAACTGACACTCACTTGCCTATTGCAATAAAAATAAAAATTATTCCAGTTACTCGGCTTTAGACTGGATTTTTTGCAATAAAATATCGAAGTGCGACGTTGACTCTTACTTCAAATTATAATTGAAAACAATAATTATACGAGAACTTTTTAAATTCCCCTAAGTAATATCTATTCTGAGTAGAGTTAGCTTTCATCTCTTCTGTATATATTAAATGACTGGATTGAGCTTCTTATATTAAAATTAGCGCAACTTCAATATAATGACATGCAAATGTAGAGTCTACTCAATATCGAAATATAAACTATATTTTACATAATATCAGTGAATATCTGCATTAAAACTGTGAAAGTCAGCCTGCTGCGGACATTCTAAAACGTATGTTGTAATTACCCGCAAAATGAAACTGCACTTTGCAACAAGTCGCCACAACGATTGCGGCAACATACCAGCGGTCTTATGACCACTGTCCGGTATTGGCAGGAAAATGAAAGAAATTTACCTTGAAGTATTAGAAGGTGCTCCTTCACTAAAAGATAATCCTTAATAGAAATCGTTTCCAAAATTGACACTGATTGATATTTGTAATATAAAATTCACGAAACTCACAAAACAGTTAAATTCACCTGAGCACTGTATTTGAAAACATTTTTGAAATTTAAAAAGTAAACTCGTTCGTTTTTAAAGTTTGTTTCTTTTCAAAAAAAGAAAAAGGTGCGCGTTTTTGCGCGGGCGCGGCGAGCGGCTGTCGTGGTAGAACGCGTAGTGTTGGCTGGCCACCCCACTCCGAGAGCTCGACCCGACTGTTGTAACTACGAAACATGGGCGACTCGACTACATCTGAGATAAGGACCAAACGGACCACCGGCACTTACCGCTTCCCGCTGCGAGGGCTAGAGTCCTAATCCTTTATGAGCCGTGAGTGGAGTCTATGAACTTTGTTTCTTTTTTGTCGCCTCATTGTTAGATAGGAATTCTACGTAAGTGTTGTACCGAGACTTATTGCGCTACCTGGGAAATTTTATCGTCATGGCGGCACGCGGCGTTTACATTTGAAATGAGACACTATTTACTTGACTACTTTGTATACCTTATTGTCTATCACTTTACTAGAACATATTGCGTGGTTTTTTTCTTCTACAAATAACTGCTTTTCAAAAACAGTGAATCAAACTAAAATAGTTTTATTTGTACTTATTTCTCAGATGCATTCATAATATCGATGCCTTACTTTCTAAAATACGTACCTTATAAAGAGTGATTATTCAGGAGATGGCAAAACTTTCTATTTATTTTAAATTTCTTATCAAAGGTATTAATTTGCATTACTTTAAGAATACGTAAAAGCCAGTGTGTGAACATGAAGGAAATGCGATGTGAAATCAGCCTGCAAAATGTGTATATACAATGCATTTTTTGCGTTTCAGTTACTTTGTGCTTTAAGATATGAGTTTGAGAAAATAAGGCGACGACACACACATTTTATTGTGCACAAGACACTGAGCTTTCTATTGATTAAAATTATCACAAAACGGTATTGGGAATATATTCATAATATACGATTTATCAGCCTTGTGCGCAAGATTCGTCTCAGTTTTTTTTAAATAACCTTCCTGATGATTTCGATGTTTTTAAGATAGGCTACAGTTCTAGCAAGCCATCGGAATGTAATTATTTTCTATGGAAAGTAATCATTTTGTTACTGCTAACATAAATGTTATCGGTAACAACTCATGAAGCTATATGTTTTATCTTATTCTGTACAATGTCTACTTCATAAAAATATGAAGTGAACATCGTGCAGCGCGTCTACACGTGAGGGAAATAGGCTTGTTGAGGCGTGAACAAGAGCCCATCTGATAGTAATCTGACACTGTCTATTGTTCCACATTTCCTCTTGTCAACATAATATGTTCAATGTACCCATATTATGATGCTAAAAAAATCGAGTGTCTACATACCTCATATATAATAATGAAATTCACGACTATTCATTTCGACCGTCAATTATTATAATTCGTCATCTCTAAGCATTAAGATGCTATTTTCAAAAATTATTTTAATGATTAGCAATTTAAAAACGAATCCATTTTATTTGTCACTTTACTTGTAAAAGCATTACAATCACTATCCGTCAACCTGAATAGGCTTCATTGTTTATTTTTATTTACCTATTTGTTCAATTACATAAGATTTAGATTACGAGTTGAATCAAAGTTGGTCAATTGGCCAGCAGCGCTTCATTTTGGTAGTATGTGAGAGGCAAGTCAACCAGTACGCATTTACTATTGAATTCTTATTGAAAATCCTCTGGAAGCTACGCAATGTATCTTAAACGACGCAATGCATCTCGAATGTTGGTTGCTTGATAATGTTAGTGTTTTTTATTTAGCCGCGTGTTTGTACTGAGTGAAATGAATGACCCGAGCGTGCTGTATAGCCGGTGATCCACATTCGTTCTCGACAAGGTAAGCAAGTGGACTAGTTCGAGCAACCGTTGCCGCTGGTACCTACTAAACAGTATGACACTAAATTGATGTGTTTTGAGCGGAGCTTTATCGTGTCGAATTCATTCGGTTCTGGTTGATGAGTGTAGCAGAATGACTTAATTATAATGGAATTATCGACATAATTTCAAAGTCATTGATTGAAGAGTGTGTAAACACTTTATATTTTCGGGATCGTTGAGCGGTGAAAGTGTAGAGACAGCCATTTTCATACAATGTGAAATTAGATGCTAACTATAGCGGGAGGTACCGCAAGCGGTAGTTATATCTACCTATAATGAATAAACAGCTAATACCTTGTTATACGTAAACATTAAAGAAGGCCACGAAAATAGTTTTTAAGTTTGTAGAATTGCATTAGGTTAATTGCTAACATCAAAATATTTCTCGAACGATAACGATGAAATGTGAAACTGTAATTAAACTAATTGAATGTGATTACTATAATGATGTACCTACCTAAAAAAAAAATTATGTCCCATTACTACGGAAACTGGTAATTAAGTTGACCTTTTGAAGTAGAAAAATTGACTATTCGCTTTTAAAAGAAATGGTGTTCTTTTTATAAACGACCTACAAGCTCAATAAGATGTCATGTCTTTTAAATTAATAACTTCCTTGACACCTAGCAACATATCAGACTATCATAGCAGGTTTTTTTTAAAGTTGCATCAGCCCACCCACTACACTTTATATAAACAAAAACGCAATATTATAGAATGCTACTTATATGAAAAGTAAATAACTAGATATTTTGAACTAAGCCGCGACGACAACCGATCTTCTTTCGTTAAACAAAATATATCAAGTATATTGAATATCATTATGTTTATACCATACCATTCTATTATTTTTTGTGAAATTACTCCACTTACTTGCTTTCTCCGCTAGCTCAGCGACCCGAAGCGAGCCTTGGCTTCTGATACGAGTTGACGTCAGCGCGTCTTACCTTGTGCGATCTCTCCCAGTTCTCTGCGTGCATTATGCGGAGACGGAGTTCTTTCTCCCCTTCGTCCCTCCATCGGTATGTGGGCCGACCAACTGATCGTCAACTAGTCTTTTGTATTTCTATCGCAAAGCTATGCTTCTTATTGAAGGGTTGAGAGTGGCAGCAGTTCCGTACACAGACACAGGATGACATTTTTAGTTGCTGTAGTCTGTAGCCTGGTGAAAGAGTTCGTCCAGGGAAGTACTGTCACCTTACCAATTTCTGCCGCCAAGTAATAATGTCAGCATTACTGTGTTCCAATTTTGAAGGGTAAGGTGAAATTACAGGCACATGGGACTTGTGTCCCAAGGTGACGGGCGCAGTGGCAGTGTCCTCAGATCTTTGCGATTTAAAGCTCTGAGTTGCGCTGCCTCTTATATATCTATTCTAATTCTATTTATTCTATTCTACTCTATATTATAAAAAAAAATGGAAAATACGTTTCACGGCCGGCAATTACACTGGCGATATTAATATACATCCTAAGTATTTCAATATTTTTGACGTCGCAAATTTCTATGGATATCACTTCACATTAAGTGGACCATCTGATTGGTTTGCTGGACGAAAAAACTTGTAGATGATAATACTAGCGGTAAAAGCCGCAATACGCAAAGACAAGTTGCTGCGGACTTCCTGAATTTCCCCCATAATCACTATCTACTATATCCGCGCGTAAATGGGTGGTTCAATACATAACCTAAACTAAATAAACGGCACAACTGCCTTGAGAACCACTTGAGTTAAAATAAAACGAGCATTTAATGTAGGTAGTCATGTTTACAACTTTGACATTGTATTTATTGCGAATTCCAATAAAACTTGACCTTGGCCATTACTGTCTTCACCTGGAGACAAGGATCTGGTGCCCAAGGCCATTCAGCAATGTAAGTTGATATATGATTAAACTACACCTAACATTCAGTAGGGACACCTACATTGAATAAAATGTCTAAACTAAGGCACGGTGTACATATATAAAGTATTTGTTATAAAGTTTACTAGATTAATAATAGGAATTCCGATTACATAGTTCTCAATTGATACGTAGTACTTATAAATTTTAGTAATAAGTTGAACAAAAATACTTGCGGCTTTTGACACAAACTAACATTAAAAAAATTACTTTTTTACTTTTAAAATGTGATATTGTACATGGTCGTTTTAAAAATAAGATTTTAGTGCCCATTTTTAAGAATAGGCGGAAAAGTTTAAGTTCATGAAAAATGCCCGAAATTGGTGAATCCTAAAGGTGACGTATTTAACCATGTTTTTTAATTTATAAATATTTTTTTATGATATTGCCAAAACTCATCAACACACATCTTTACATAGCTGTTTTCACCGAATCGCCCGACATAACCCCTTAAGATTTTCACTTGTTTCGGTTTTTACAAAATTCTTTGAATGGGCACGACTTTGGTATCAAAGAGACCATCAAACGACACTTAAGGCAGTATTTTTTTATAAGTAATTTCTGAAATTTTTACGAAAGGAGAAGCTTAAAATTATTCGAAAGATGGCAAATTATTGTACATCAAAGTGACTAATAATTTGATATTTATTTTTTTAATGGTTTCGATTTATATTTTGATACCGGGCGGATTTTTTTGGCCAACCCTATATATAGATGATATGTATTTATACAATACTTATTCCCTATTTTAACCGACTTCAAAAAAATCGTATGTTCTTAATTCTACTGTATTATTTTTTCGAGTTCTTAGGTTTTCACGATTATTACACATAGGAAATGAAACTATTTTTCCGGATTTAAATCGCGTATATTTGTTTTTTCGAACAAACCAACGTTTCGGGCTTTTTACAGGTCCCATGGTCACGGTTGACTAAGGTAAAATTAAAAATAAGCTTTTTAATTAACAACTTTTGTAACTATAGTGGAAAAAATAGGGTTGTTTGCATTAATATTAGACATAACTGCTTGATGACTGTACCACCTCAGTCAACCGTGACCATGGGACCTATAACGGGCCCGAAACATTGGGTCATTTGAAATATAAATATACGCGATTTAAATCTGGATTAATAGTTTCATTTCCTATGTATTATTTTTCTTATTTTTTTTTTAGGTGTATGTTACGCGATTTCCACGATTCTTTTTTTTGTAAAGGGGTGCCTTAGTAGTGGTCCCATTTACATTTGAAGAAAATATTTCACCTTTAAGGGTGCCAATTCAGGGGATGAATCCAGTTTGCATTTTCAGTTTTTGCTGGTGTAATTACAGGCAGATGGGACTTGTTAACGTATGTCTCAGGGT